TATATATATCTATAAAACCACTCAAGATTATTCATTTATTTAAAATATACTGGAAAATAAATATAATAAAAGCAAAGGCTATAATACCTTCAATTTAGACTCAGGAATACTAACAACGTGCAATTCTGGTCTATCTAATATATATGAAATCCATCTTTTGTATTCTAAAGAAAAAGAATAAAATATGACATTCCTAAAATCTTGCAAAGATATTAGTGATTGAAAAGATCAAAAGGCTTATCACAGCAAAATTCCAGAGCATCAGACAGTTATAAAAAACTATAATCCTCACCTTCAACTTTGTTTGCAGGAGTTCTTTACTAGTAATGATGTTGGTCACCTCTGTTTCATTTAATCCATGAACAATGGCTGGACCTCCGAGGGTAGCATACAATGTAACAACTACAAGGAAAAGAACACAAGTCATATACTCAAACACAAGCTATCAAACCTATCAGCACCTCTGAAGTAAACATGATCATAAAGGAGCTTCTGAACACTAAATCATTATATCCAGTCCATGAGAAAATATTGTGATTTTTATAATTCTTTTAATATACTAATCAATAAATCTACCCTTGTACCTCCTAACTTTCTCAAGAGTTTCAGTATTTTTAAGACATTTTTATTACTTTAGGTATGTGTATATGTGTATGTCTGTATGAGGGAATGTGTCTGTGAGTGCAGGTGCCGTGGACGTCAGAAGAGGATGCTGGATCACCTGGAGAGAGCACTGCAGGCGGTTGTGAGTGGCCCAACATTACTGCTAGGAACTTAACTCGGGTCCTCTTGATGAGCAATATACACTGTAACCGTTGAGCTACTCCATCCCCTCTGATTTCCAGTATCTTTTTTGGTCTTTTTGAGACAAGGTCTCCCTGTAGCCCCAGCTGTCCTGGAACTCACTACATAGACCAGGCTGGCCTTGAACTCAGAGATCCGCCTGCCTCTGCCTCCAGAGTGCTGGGATTAAAGGCGTGCACCACCACACCTGGCGATTTCCAATATTTTAAGATGAAGATTCTTGTTTGAGTGTTTGCTTGTTTGCTTTCTTTGTAAACAGGGTCTCACTGTAGCCCCAGCTGACCTGGATATAGAACAGACTGGCCTTGATCTCACAGCGATCCACTGACCTCTGCCTCCCAAGTGCTGGGATTAAAGGTATGTGCCACCACATCAAACAAGATTAAGATTCTTTTTTAAAAATATCTTCATATTTTTACTTGTATGAGTGTACTGCCTGCAAATATGTAATGCACCTGTGTCATACAATACCCTTGGAGGGCAGAAGAGGGCGTTAAATCCCCTAGAACCAGAGTAGGACAGTAGTCAGCCACCATGTGGGTGCTGGGATTCAAACCCAGGTCTTCTGCAAGAGCAGCTAGTGCTCTTACCCAGTAAGCCATCTCTCCAGCCCCAAGATGAAGATTCTTAAACTTGTTTCACCTATAGAAGCTATTCTAGGGCTAATGTAATAAAAAGGAATTATAACTGATCCTAAAAAATGTTAAAATTTTCATTGTTGACTGTTTGGGACTACAATGTATGAAAGGACAAGTACCAGTAAAGGGGTATAGTGAATGTCAGTTTCAGGTATTACGTGTCAAGAAAATAACATGCTTGGGAATGATGGTGCGGCCTATAATCCTAGCAGTTAGGAGGCAGAGACAAGATGACCAGCAGTTCATTACACAGTGAGTTCAAGGCCAGTCTGGGCTATTAAGAGACCCTGTCTCAAAAAACAAAAACAAAAACAAAGAAAAATGGTACAAGCATGTTGTATTGCTTATTTCCAAGCAGAAAAATCTAAGTAAGATTCTTAAAAACAGTGAAATCATATAATACATTTAACATTTTTTATATTTAGCTTCTACCTGATTAAAAAAAGCTAGATATAAAATGATTTTAAAAAGAGCATTTCTTTTTAAATATTCTCAAAAGAAATATAATGCAAACTCAAACCTAGGAAAAAAAGGTAATACTTATTTAGAAAAGTAGAGAAAGTGACAACGAGAAGTCTAGCAAGAGCATCTTTGTGGTTTCAGTGGAAGGTAAGACAAGATGCACCCTTCCCATGACATTTCCCACCAGGATGCCTCACAGGCCAAGTCATCATCACAACCGTTCAAGGAAATCTGGCAATACTGAGATTCTCTTCATGAAACCTAGTACTCTAAAGTTCACCGGGTTCCAATATGGAGGTGTTTTAGAGTCAACAGTAGCTACTGGCACAAGTGGATTAACAAAATGACAGAACCCCTGAGATGACAGATCCCTCAGAGGGATCCCCTAAGTAAATCTAGTTTTCCGGCTGTTGAAAGTCCCCAATTAACAGCTTCAGGATCCCTCACTGTACTTGGCCAGGGAGTTTGTTCCAAAACTGGGTCTTTGCCAACACAGACAAAATTCCAAGCCCTAACAAACAATTCACCATTACGTAGATGCAAGGCAAAAATTAATATCAGAATATCAACATTTTAAGAATGAAAGATTATTTTAAAAAGTACCATCCACCCATTAACTGCATTCTTTGAAAAGATAAGCAAGCCTACATACGCTGGAAGTTATACATGAAACAGGCCTGAGCAGCAATCATCCACTCCGCCCTGGTCTCACAGAAGATGGCGATGTTGGTCTTCGGCTTCTGGCCCAACATCTGTAAGCCATTTCCGAAGTCCAAGGCTCGAATGAAGACATCTTCATAGGAGAGCCAATTATAGTCCCCAAGGATAACCTGATGAAACAAAACACAATTAAAAGCAGCTTTTAATGCTAGTTTACAAAAGAAATCAGTAAATGCCAAGTTTTATAGCCAGAAAGCTATATGAATATAAAATGTATTTTCCCAATTAATACCAAAAATGAGTTTCAAGTGAAAATATATTTTAAAAACTTGCTTTGTGATATTATATACAACAACTCAAATCCTATACTAAAAACTTTTAACAATGACAGAAAGGGTATTTTTTTTTTAAGTTGCTATTTTTGGTTTTCAAAACTACTCAGAATTAGGCTGAAATGTGAACATTTAGAGTTCAAGACCAGCTTGAATTATACAGTGAGACCCTGTCTCAATAAAACAAAATAGCAAACTAGGTATGCAGGTGGAGGCAGGAGGGTCAGAAATTCAAGGTCATACCTGGCTACATAGAGTCTGAGGTTACATGAAAGCCCGTATCCAAACACACAAACACACAGGTCAACTTACTGGAAAAATGGCCTATACTATTAATTCACTTTATTCATTTATAGCTTTCCTTTACTTAAATGAATCAGACATTAATTAAAACTTTGGTCCTCCTGGGCGTGGTAGTGCATGCCTTTAATACTAGCACTTGGGAGGTAGGTGAAACTCTGTTTCAGGGCAGCTTGGTCTACAGAGGGAGTTTCAAGCCTGCCAGGGCTACAGTGAGATCCTGTATCAAAAAAAAAAAAGAAAGAAAAGAAAATGGCCCTATACCGCAAGCTCACAGAACTATACATGGCAGTTTAATTTGAATTTTAATTATCTTCATCATGATAAAGTAAAAAGTCTTTATAAAACCAACTGGGGACTAAATTACATTAATCATCAAAGTCCCTCTTTTTAAGCCTCCAGTACTTAATGACTTATGGTATTTTGTGTTTGAAGTACAGGTAACATCAGCTTACATTAATAATAAACTTTCAAAGCTGGTTGATACACTGTCTTCAGGAATTTTCTTAAACAAAACCACAAATTCTTCGCTACATAGAAAATTTTAAAAAAAAAGTTTTTAAACCTGGATAAAATGCAAAAATATATAGCTGGTTCCTGAACATGGCTGTGCAGAATTTATATCACAAACATCTTAAAAACCATCTGACCATATTCATTCTTAAAAATGCAACCAACATGGGCTGGAGAGATGGCTCAGCAGTTAAGAACACTGGCTGTTCTTGCAGAAGACCAGGGATTGAATCCCAGCACCCACATGGCGGCTAACGACTGTCCTTAACTCCAGTTCCAGGGTATCCGACCCACTTCTGGCCTCCACAGGCACTGCATGACATAGGTGCACTTACACACATGTAGGCAATACACTCATACACACAAAATAAATAAAAATAATAAAATATTTTTAAAATGCAACCAACATACCAGAGATGTCTCTAAGAGGTGAGAGAAGAGAAAGAAGGAAAAATGGATAAATGCTGCCCTCTAGTGTCCCAGTCGGAACAGATTTAAGACAAAATTATTTGTATTTGATACAATGATACTTTTCACTGCAGTGGTTCCAAATTCTCACCTCGCTCTGCACCCCCACGCATGCGCAGCACAGGGAGCTCCAGTGACTTCAAAAGGAGCTCTGTGAGGATGAGAAGAGAGTTGAGAATTTGACCAAAATGTGGAAGAACTGGATTATAGTTACTAAGAACGAATGGGTCACCTTTTAGATTCCAGAATCTGAATGGCAGGCTCTGCCACCTTCAAAGGCCCTGTGTTCTGAAAAGGCACTAGATATATAACCCCAAATATTTAAGCTCATTTGGTGATGCCACCATTTGTCAAAAAATAAAATCGTAAGATTCTGTTCAAGTACTTGTGCCTATAATTCCAGGACTCAGAATGCAAAAAGATTGCCATGCATTTGAGGCCAGCCTAGGCTATATAATGAGAATTCAGGCCAGCCTGGTCTACAATGTAAGGCCTTGTCTCAAAAACAGAAACAAAGGAAAAGAACAAAATATAACAAGAATGAATCTGAGTCCCAAACATTACTCAAACCACTGAGTTTTCTACTAATTATCTTTCTAATCCTGTCTCTGTGGTTAATCTAAACCAAGATTAAACTCATGAATTCAATCCTCTGTTGCAGAAAAGCATAGAACTTTATCAGTCCAGCATCACAGACCTCACCACCCCACAATCTTACTCCATTCTTTCTCTCACCTCTAAAACAGCTTTGAAATTTTTTCTCCTAAATATCCTCCCTCTCCACTTGCACAAGATCACTCTTACATCACTGAGCTATTAGAAATCAGCTGGAAACCCCAACTTCCTACCATCAAATTTAATAACCTGCATACTCTGTGCTCATGTTCTGAAGTCCACATGGTTCAATGTCCTTGACAAAAGCCAGATTCCCTCGCCCAACACAGGTGCACCTACATACATGCAAAACACCCATATAAAAAAATTATATATTTGGGTTTTTTTTTTTTTTTAAGCCACTCTCTGGCTGGAAAGATGTCTCTACATCAAAAGCACCAGATGTTCTTGCAGAGGACCCAGCACCTACAAGGCAGTTAAAACTATCCCTAACTCCTGTTCCAAGTGATTCAATATCCTCTTCTGTCTGATCCCCTCCTCTGGCCTCTGTGGGCATTCACGCATGTGGTACACTTACATACATGTAGGCAAAACACTCATACACATAAAATAGAAAGAAGTCAAAAAATATTTTTAAGCCAAATTTTCAAGGACTTTGTTTCAAGAAGTTTCCCAACTTCCCCCAGTACACAAGATCATCTCCACTGGGATATCTGTTTTTACTTGACTGTTCAACTAAGAGATCTCACAGGTATATCAAATTCACCAAGTTTCAAGACAAAAACTCACCCTCTTTCCTTCCTCTTCTTTCTTCCCATGTATATGAACCAAAACATACCATCTCCCCAATTGCTCAACACAGAAAACGGAAGTTATCCCCCACCCCTCTCCATTACATTCAGCTTCAAACTCATCTCTAAATCTATCCCCAAAGTCCATCAAATGGTCACAAGCCATCTTCTCAACTCATACCTCTCTCATTCCCCTACAACCCACATAAACAAGGGTGCTCCCCTGCTCAAGACCCCGCAGGCTTTGGCCTTTCCAGTGGCACCAAGTCCCAAAGTCTTACCCCGGCCTAGGCCGTAAGTAAGGCCTGGTACTAGCAGCTGCAAGTCCCTGTGACCCTCCTAAACCCTCTTCCCCTCATTCTTTGTTCTTCTAAAAGGCTAGGATAGAGTGAGAGATACACGCAAGACACAAAATTCAAGGTGCTCTTTCAGGGGCCTTTTTGGAGGGGAGGGATCTTTTTGAAATAGAGTGTCCCTGTAGCCCCAGCTAGCCTGGAAATCACTGTGGAGACCAGGCCAGCCTCAATCCACCTGGGATTAAAGTACTGGGATTAAAGTACTGGGATTAGAGTACTGGGATTAAAGGCGTGTACCACCACACCCGGCTTCCAAATGCCTTCCTAAACTGTGCACTAAGCACCTCACCTGAGCTCATTCTTGCCTGGGAGCCACTACTCTCCTCTGCCTTCCTACCTAGAAGGTTCTTACCAAAGTTAGTTCTCGTCAGGTCTCCACTTAAGCATAACACATTCAGACAGGCTATCCTTGATCACCAATCTGCTCTATTTCCTCACACTATTTACATCTATTACACCAAATAATAATCAATGTGTCTCATTCATTTGTTAGAGGTACTCAGTGGTGATTTGCTAAGTGTGTGGGATGGTTGAAGTTGAAACTGCTTTTGCTCTAATCAATCACCATCTGCCTTTAGCCTGCCACCTCGTAAATATTTTTGCCTGTGCCTCATCCAGGACACAAACAAGTTCAGCGTTCTTGACAGCAGGGTTATGTGGCGACGCTCAGAGTCTTTTGAGTGGATTCTTCACTGCTACCATAGGTAAGAGTCTACCTGGCCTGTACCCTCAGCCCTCACTGTGACCTGGGGAAGGGGTTAAGATGATTCCTAAGGTCATTTTCGTCTTTCACACCTGGCTTTATTTTTATTCTATCAAAGAAGTGACATACACACTATATCATTCAGAGTATAACTGTCTAAAAAAGTACTAATAGCCTGGATTAAAGGAACTTAATAATTTAGCTTTTCTAGGAACATGAAATGTGATGCTTTGATGAAAGTTTAACTCAAAGGAAAATAAAATGCTGTTAACATAGATAACGTATTTTAAAATAAAAGCACACCAATATTGACCCATTCAGGCCTCTGGATGGTCTGACAGTCTAAAATGATTGAGTTTTCAGATAGCAGAGTTAAGTCTAAGTACGAGAGCTTTTTTTTTTCTTTTATTATTCAGAATGATTTTTTAAAATATCTTATTATTTTTATTTCATGTGTATGAGTGTATTGCCTGCATGCATGTGAGTGCACCCGTGTCATGCAATGCCACGGAGGTCAAAAGAGGGCTTCGGATTCCCCTGGAACTGGAGTTAAGGACAGTTCGTATCTACCATGTGGGTGCTGGGAATCGAACTCCAGTCCTCTGCAAGAGCAGTCAGTGCTCTTAACCGCTGAGCTGTCTCTCCAGTTCCCAGAATGATTTTTTTAATTAGTATTTTCCTGTCTTCTTCAACAAAGTATCCCTAGCTTTATTTAACTTTTCTCTCTGTACTTTGTTGCAAGGAATAAATCAAAATTCTGGTTTTGCAGCTTGCGTAATTTGGGGCAGGAAGCCTCTAACACACAGGAGACAAGCATGGAAGGAAACCCAGAGACTGATGAAAGGCAAAACATCAGATCTCCACCTCAAAAGCCATCATTTTGTTTGTAGGGTTTTTTTTTTGGGGGGGGGGGGTCTGGTCTCACTGTGTAGTCCCCGTCGGCCTGGAACACCCTATGTCGACTATACAAGATTGGTCTGGATCTCAGAGTGGTCTGCCTGCCTCTGCCTCCCTAGTGATGAAATTAATGGTGTGTGCCACCATGACCAGAAAAAAAAAGCCATTAGTTATGAATTATGATGTGAATGGCCTAACAACTCAGAAAGTTCATTTATTGGGGGGGGGTGAAATAGGGTTTAGGGTTTCACTATGTAGCACTAGCTGGTCTGGAGCTCACTATGTAGCCTAGGCTTAGCTTATGGCTATCACTCTGCTTCTGCTCTAGAATGCTGCGGTTACAGGTTTACCAGTGTGAGCCACCACAACCATCTCAAGGGGAAAGAGGCTCTCCATTTTGTTTTGTTTTTGGCAGGGGGAAGACTGAAGATTGAGCCAGAGTTTTACGTATGCCAGGCAAGTGCTCTACCACTAAGGTACATTGTCACCATTTTTTTTACCCTTTCTTTTCTGGGGGATTGAGACAAGGTCTTGCTGTATAGCCTAGGCTGGCCTTGAACTTGTAATCCTCCTGCCTCAGCCTCCTACATGCTGGAATTACAGATGTATGTCACCAAATCAAGCTTTCAGAAACCAAGTGTTATAATATATGCAAATGGTTAAAAAAATGTGACTCAAGAAGAAACAACACAAAAGCAGGCACTGAAAAATTAGAAATCTAAGTCAGCTTACAAGAACATGCCTGCTCTGTGATTACTTGGGATGTCAGTGAAATCTTTTGTAACTACTATTAATTACATAATCCCTTCTCATTCTAATATGTATAAAACATGTACAAAACATTAAAAGTATTTATATTTTTTTCAGAATAAAAGACCTTTTTAATCCTATATAATGTACACATGTACAAGTGTATACTCAAAGCAAACATAGACACAATTTGAGTCTCTGGATGAACCTGTCAATACATTTTTTGTTGTTGTCTTTTTTGAGACAGGGTCTCCCTGTAGCCCCAGCTGTCCTGGAACTCACTATGTAGACCAGGCCGGCCTTGAACTCACAGAGATCCTCCGGCCTTCAATACTTTTTTAAAGTACTTTGCTTTGAGAATAGAATGTAGGTTGATCACATTCAGGGCCCACCCACCCCCACCCACTTTACTTCCTCTATTGTGGAATGCTAGGCAATGCTTCAAGAGGCTTCAAGAATCTGTGACTACACAGGTCATAGGTCATAGGGAAGAACCTATTGCCATGCTTCAAGTCTAAAAGGCTCTTGTGTTGCTCTAGGCAACACAGCAGCAAGGAACACGATTCTCCTGCTCCCAGAAGTTCTCAATAGCCAAGAGATCCTCAGCTAGGGTTGTGGCTTCTTGACCCCCTCCCCGCACCTACCCCATCTATGCTGGGTTTTCTCTGGCTTGGGTTTGTACAGGTCTTGTACATGTTGCAACAAGCACTGTGGGATAATGTGCACAACCATGAACCCTGCAAACTGCAGTAACAAGTGGCTTGGCAAAATATGCCCACTAGCACAACAGTGCCATGAACGCTACAGAAGTAACCAAGCTGTTCACAGGATGGAATCCATACGTCACACTGTTAATCAGGGCACGAACCTGTGACTACACAGGTCATAGGTCATAGGGAAGAACCTATTGCCATTATCCTGCTAAACAGACATAGTATTAAACTGACTCCTAACGACTTATCATTATACCCAGAGGCAATGCATCTCTCAGCTCTCACCAGAGAAGCTTCTTGCAACAGATGGCAATTAATGCAGAGACTCACAACTGGTCAAAGTGCAGATCCTAAGAGACCATGGAGTGCTCAGCTCTGAATGGGACACCTGTTATCATTCCCTATCCTCCCAAGGTTTAGGGATCATTGTGGAAAAGAGGGAGCAGGAAAGACTGTAAGAGGCAGAGGCGGTAGATGAATACAAGGAAACGGTTGTCTGGACGGTACAGCATCCAGTGTTTTTGTTCTTCATGACTTTAGGCACACTTGTATTGTAAAGCTGCGGAGATCCACACCGCCCCCCCACCCCCACCTTCTCCAGGGCACTGGGGCAATCCGTTACTGGAAAGGCTGCAAGCAGACTCCAGGTGCTTTCTGTGCTACAGCTATATAAGACTGAAAGACACACTCCAGGTGCTTTCTGTGCTACAGCTATATAAGACTGAAAGACACCTAAAAGAATGAAGCAGTAGTTCTGAAAAGGCTTGCCACACCTCAAACACATGACAGCTTCAACTCTGGGTGTGTGCCCTCAGACTCCCCATATATCCTGAAGCTAGGGGTATTACTTACTGTACCTTGGGACCTCAAAAACCTGTCAAGAAAGAGGGAAACAAAGCTAAGTTCATTTCTTTGAAGGGGCTGCAGGCAGCGATGCAGCATTTACGAAGCATTTGCAAGGCTCTGGGCTCCATCTCAACATAGACACACAAAGGGGGGAGGATCTGAAATAAGGGTTACATAGCTTTGTTTTAACCATATCAGATACACTGTATATTCAATCTGCAAAGCTGCTGCTTCCCAAAGTAAGGAGCTATACCACTAGCTAGCTCTCTCTTCAAAGTGAAGGTTATCTTCAAATACTGTAACTATTTTAACGAAGACATGCCATTGAAAGTATCTCTTCTTTTGTGACAAACACCTGCAATCAATCCCAGCACTGGAGAGTTGTGGAGGAAGGTGGTCAAGAGTTTGATGCAAGCCTGAGCTCCACGAGACCTAAAGTCTTACCTTCCTGTTAGTTTGGCAGTTAGCGTGTGCTAAGTTTGTCACCCAACACCCTAACATGACAGATGCTGCCCCTGGCACAATGCAGTGGGTATAACAAGAAACCTAAAGCATGAGGGGTGGGCACAGGCTAACTTGTCTAACCCCTCTCCAGCTTGTAGCCCACTTCCATGGCTGCCACACTGCACCAACTAGCCCACGGCAAAGCACACTGTACTATGGCCAACAGAGAATGTTTCATTTGTTATATACTAAAACCTGAAAATTAATTCTACTTTCCCAAAGCACCTAATTCTAGACAAGAAAAATCTGTTTCTGTTGATCTATTATAGCCTTCTCACTGGAAGAATAGAATTAACTCCCACAGGTTGTCCTCTGACCTAGACACACACATACACATATACACACACACACACACACACACACCCATGGCATTCCCAAAATGCCTCCCCACCCAATTAAATAAATAAAGTCACTCTATTTAAAAATGAGGAGGGCTAAGAATGTGGCTCAGTGGTACAGTGCCTGCCTAAAGTACAAGAAAGAAGGGAGGGAGGGAAGAAAGGAGGAAATGAAGGGAAAGAAAGAAAGAAAGAAATGCTACTATTAACTCATATAGTTATTTTAAGTCTAAAAGAAGTTGATATTAGTAAGAACAGTGAATCATACTAATACTAGGGATAAATATTATCTCCAAGCTCCCAGGGAATAGGGTTTCCCACCCAAAACTGCCTAGATGCTCTACTCAAGCCTTGGGAAATGTCCAGATTCAGCAGGGCCCCAGGCCAGGCAGAAGAGTCTCAATGTCTTTCTGAAAAAGAGGGCAAATCAGTGCTAGTGAGTAGAGGGGTGAGAGCAGTCAAGAACCCTTCAGACACTTTCTGCAACACCAGCAGATCCCAGCAGCAGAGGCTGCACTGGCCATGCTTCTCAGAGTGCCAGGGGAGAGTATGAGGGGAGGGGCATACCAGGGAGAAGGGGGTTCAAAAGCAGAAGGAGGTCATCTTACCTTTTTAAAAATTTTTCCATTTGGTTGCATTTCATCTTCCTCATTTAAAATTTCACGTGTTCCCAAGAGTCTTTTGTCCTTAAATTTGTTTTTTGCATACATAAAAACTTTATCTAGTGTATCACAGCCAGGAAACAATACTGAGGCCAAACCATTCAAACTGTTAATAGATCTGTATGCAGAATCAGGTTTTGAACTGACGGGCTTTGCTTTGATTTGGTTTGATTTCTCTTGTCTTGACTCAGACAAAAAATAAAATGGAATGTATGTTAAAATAGTATAAAGTGATATTATAAAATGTATGAAATACAAAAGTATGGGATTGATGGTATGTTTTAGCTTCATGGTAGATGGTTTTGAAGATACGTGGTTATTCATAAGTGCTCAAAAAATAGAATTAACAGGCTTCAGGAAGAATCTAGAAGAAAGAAAAAGAAACAGATTAGTTCAAAAGCACTTTAAAGAAAAATTCTTCGCACCAGCTCGCATTACAGTTGTTTCTCCCATCAGACAGGAGTTAGTATACTGGCCCACTATAATGTTCTAATTTTAAGAAACTCATTTGTACCACATCTATTAACACTGGAATTACACAGAAAACGTCTAATTATACTGTAAACAGGCAGCCTTCCCAATCTAACCCTGAGTATTCACAAACACTTCAAGTAGTACAAAGGAAACGAACCAGGAGAGAAGAAATAAAATTTGCCCAATTCCAGTTCCTTAGTGTCCAAGAGCAGTAAGGACGGCAAGCCCTCTGCACAGATGCCACATTCTGACTGTAGCAGCAGCCACTGCTGAATAAGCTCTGCCTTCTTTCCAGTGCACCCATTCTCACTCTGTACAAAACCGGCAAACACAAACTTTATTTTCCAGTGGTTCTGGACATGAGTCAATTCGGGCAGACAAAAATGTGAAGCAAGAAAGCAGTGAGTAGACCAGGCGTGGTGCATGCCTGTAATCCCAGCAGAGGCAGGGGGAGCTTTGTGAGTTCCAAGCCAGCCTGGTCTACATATGGAGTTCCAGGATAGCCTGGTCTACACAGTGAGATCCTGTTTTCAAAAAGAAAAGAAGAAAGCAGTAAGTATGGTCACTGTGTAGTTTGCATTCCAACACTAGGAATATGACAGTGAATAAAACAACCCAAGTCATTGCTCTCATAGAATCCACATTCACTCAGAGAGCCAAACAAGCAGGTAGGTGTACACCCATACATGCATACATATGGGTGCACATACATGCATACATGGTAATAAGAAATGCTACAAGAAAAAGCAAACCCAAGTAAGGGAAACACAAATGACTGGGCAAAGTTGGAGAGGTACTCTAGGTATGGGTGGTCACCGAAAGCCTCTCTGGCAAGTAATCTGTATCTTACGTATACATGGCAGGTGTGCCATGTGCCTGGCTAGGAAAGAAGGAGCATCCCAGGCAGAGGAAATCACCATCATGTGGCAGATACAATCACCGAAGGAAGGAAACTGAAGCAAATTACTATGGAAGTACCCTGCCCACTTTGATATCCAGGTATGGTGGCTTGAATGAGAATGTCCCCCAGCGGCTCCAAGTATTTGGACTGTTTGACTCCAACTGGTGGCGCTGTTTGGGGAGGCTTTAGGAAGTGTGGCCATAAGGGAGAAAGCACATCACCGTGGATGGGCTTTGACAGTTCTTAAGCCAGGTTTCCAGATGTTCTGTTTCCTGTGCCTGCTTGAAGATGTGAGCACTGGCTTGGCTTTCTCCTCCAGCCACCTCCTGCCACCATGCCTCCCCGCTGTGACGGACTCTAACCCCTCTGGAACCATGAGCTAAATCAGCTATTCTTCCATTGCTGCTTTGGTTAGTGTTTTTAATCACGCAACAGAAAAGAAACTAATATACCAAGACTGATTTTTGTCCCCAAAAAGTATTTTTCATCTCCTACTCCTCAGCTTCATGTTGCCAGAATTCTATTCCAGCCCAATGTGGCCAACAAGTTAGAGGAATCCCTTCTCTCACCCAGTCCCCTACTCATGGGCAAGACATCTACCATAGGCCAGGCCAGCAAGCCAAGAACAGAGAGCACAGATTACCCTTGCTACAGCTCACTTTTATCACCGTGAAGGCAAAGAGACCTCTAAATCAAGATCAGTACCCATGGCCTAGCATACCACTCATGAGCAGGGATGTTAACTACAAGAAAATCACAGAAGTGCTACACAGGCCAGAGAACTCCTTAGCAGCTTCTAAGAAGATTGGCTTTATTTGAAGCATGGAAAGGAGTTCTTGTCTAATGGCACTGTTAAAAACTCCAAGACTTTGGTAACGGGCAATTAAGATGAAGTTATGGCTCCGTGACAGTATCAAGTAAAAGAATTAAGCAACCAGAAGTTGAACAGAAAACCAAAGAAAGAGATACCTAAGGAGAACCTTCCTGAATTTATGATAAACCTAAAAGATACTCTCTGACAAGACCCCTAACAAAGGGCTTCTACTTTAATTGGATCATGCATGCTGTGGAGCAATTTATAGCCCAGACCGCAGGATCGCACCAAACATAAACAGCCAGGCACAGTGACACACACCTTCAGTCCCAACACTCCAAACAAACAAAACACAAAACAATCACCTGGCAATTGACAAACAACAACTGCTGGATATAATGCAGACAAAGACAAACTAGGCGCAATATGACACAGAACGCAGGGAAATGGCTCAAGCCACCCAGCTAAAACTGAACACAGAATTATGAGGTGTCAATGAACAAAGTATGACACATACAGAAAGGATAAAAGGGGCAGGAGAAATTGTCTTTGACAGGACCCGGATGTCAAACTTAATACACATCACAGCAGCTATCACAACTATATGCAAAACCTAAAACCATGCTTTAAGAGTTAACAATCTAGCTGGCTGAGCACTATACTCCCCAGTAGAAGCAAGAAGATCAAAGTCCAAGGTCGCCCTAAGCCATCTAGGGAGGACAGCCTGGACTGTGAAACCCTTTCTGGAAACTAGAAGTAGACAGGCTTGTAGTCTTTAATCCCAGGCAGAAGCAGGCAGATCTCTGTGAGTTTGAGACCAGACTGGTCTACATAGAAAGTCCCAGGCTAGCCAGAGCTATACAGTGAGACTCTGTCTCAAAAAATAAATAAATAAAACAAAAATTAAATAAATCATGAAAGTTCAACTCACTCACAGGATAAGAAGTCAATCCGAACTTGCAGTGCCCCACTGGTGGGACGCCACGATCTCAATGGAGCCTACAGGCTCCTCGCCATTCTAGGCTGGTGTTGCTTTGTTCTGCTGTTGTGTGGCAATGTATTCTGCAACACTATGAAGACCAGTCCAAAGAATGAGGATTTTGTCAGAGGTCATGGGAAGCCACTGAAAGCTTCTGTAGAGGAAAATGGTACTCCCAGGACATCAGAGTGGCAAGGAACAGATACATTCTAATAATCCTCAAAAGGTGTTATCTAAATACTTTTTCAAATTTAATTTTGAATGTATTTATTTCTTAATTAAAAAATAATGTGAATTTTTTTTGGGGGGGGCAGGCATGGTGGCACTTGCCTTTGATCCCAGCACTTGGGAGGCAGATCTCTGTGAGATCGCGGACAGCCTAGTCCACACAACAAGAGTTCCAGGCCAGCTGGGGCTACAGGAGACCCTGTCTAGAAAAAAAAAAGCAAATCCAAAACCCTAAAAATAATGCGATTTTTGAGATTATATTCATAGGTGTGATCATGTATACAGAAAACCAATAAAGTTATTCACAGAACTCTGGCTTATGCACACACGCACGCACGCACGCACGCGCGCACACACACACACACACACACACACACACACACACACACACCCTCTCTACAGTAAGTGCTTATATGACTCAACCTCTTCCTATTCAGCCCCCATCACAAAAAGGGACCAGAGTTTAATGTCCAGGACAGGGACACTTGAAAATGCTCCTACAAACTCAAACATCAGAGTTCAGATGGTGCCACAGGAGGGAAAAAAGGAAAACTCCTCCAGAGGGGCATCTTAACACGCCTACCACCCAATCTCACTTCTTCCTTTATAGTTCCTTGCCTGCCTTTAACATCAAATAGGAGTCAAGACCACACAACTCAGCATCTTTTGTCTAATGAAGCATAAGCCAGTGGGTTGCTCAGGACTGAGTACCATGGACTCAATTGTCAGCATGACATATACCTAGGATTTTTCATTAAGCTTGCAACAAGAGAAACACTTCAGGTTTAAAACACACACACGCACACACACAGGCAGGAGCACACCTCTAACCCCAGCACTCAGGAAGCAGAGGCAGATAGATCTTTATGAAATAGAGGCCAGCCTGGTCTACATTCCAAGTGCCAGGCCAGGGAAACCTTGTCTCAAAAAAAGATTTTTGAAAAAGGACCTTCAGAAGAGCTGCTCCTTTTAGAACAATGGTAAAAAGCCCTCATTTAACACTGGCTCCTCACAGGTAAGCCCCCTAACATCCTAATATTTCAGGTTCACCTGTAAAACTAAACTGAAAACTTAACCGATAATAAATGTCCCAAGTAAGGAAAGCAGGCGAGATTCCTGTGAGACCACAAAGTACAATGCCTTTGCTAACAGCACCTTTTTTGCAAACACAACTTTCATCCCATTACTGCTTACTTCTTACACCTTCCTCATTTTGAAGACACTGAGGTCGACTCAACTTTACCCTTAAAGACAACTTAAGCCGAGAAGCCAAACATACTGAGCTTGACTCTCAATGACTTCCATCACCTAAAGTAAACCATATTTCTATTTCTCATTTGTGGACAGTGAAGGGTATCTGTACCGTGATGCCTTTGTGAGGACTCAACAGTCAATATATTTAAAGCCTATAGCACATGTCTCAAAGTGAGCTCTAGCACTTTAGTTAGGCTTTTCATCATCAATCTGTATTTACTACATTAAGATTTTAGGTTCATTACAAAAGGCTAAATTCCTATCTATGAAGTTCCTTACAGCATGAAATAATAGTGATCCAAGGAAAAAGAACACTACTTACTCAGCTCCACTCCAGGCTGAGGTAGTGACACCCAGCACCTGTCTCTACAGCTGCAGGAAGCCATTCTGCACAATCTGAAGTAGGGGGTTGCAGCTTCCAAACCTCACATGCTATAATACCCAAGGACCACCCACAATGCCCAAATGAGGCCCTGGCCTGCCCATTCTCAGCAACAAATCTGGCCTAGTTTTGTAAAAACATAATTTATAAATAAAGAGGCTGAACTCATCTTTGATTGGAAGCTGGTACTATTCCACTTTGAGGAACTCCATAAACTGCAGTGATGATTACTAACTTTGGCTTTGTTTGGGTTTTTTTTTTTTTTTTTTTTTTTCTTTTTGGAGACAATTTTACACTATAGCCCTGACTGGTCTGGTACTTACTCTGCAGAG